AAGGCCTAAGGCCTATGTTATTCCTTTTCTAGTATGCTTCTGTGAGTGTCCAGTCTCCTCTTGAAAGGGTCAGTTGAAGGTGTGGACACCGCTGCTTCGGGCAGCAGGTTCCAAGTATTGATGACTTGGTGTGAAAACCTGTATGCCACCGGTATTTTGTTCGTTCTTGGTTTTCTACTCGCCAGCTATGTCCTCTGAGATATCTCGATCAAGTGGAAAGAAAATAAGAGAATAAGTTAGATCCAAAATCATTTCTCAGTATTCTGTACATTAAAATTAGATCTCCCCTTAACCTGCGATAGGCCAGAGTGAAGAGGTCCAGCTTTTCAAGCCGCTCTTTGTATGGTGAACCCCGGAGTTCTGGAATTGCACGGGTACTTGCCCTCTGTATTTGTTCTAGGATATCTGAGTCACCTTTTAAACAGGGGCTTTCAGCCTGAACTCAGTTCTCAAGCTTAGTTCCCACTAAGGATGTGTATAATGTGGTGAACATTTTAGTATCTAAATTAGTTAATGTCTGTTTTAAAGCCCTTAGCTGCGACCTCCCGGCAATGGGCCGTCGTCTTAAGATCGTGACCCACTATCACCCCAAGATCCTTGTGAGACCGAACCACGGGTACAGGCACTTCTCCTATGCTGTACCTACTTATCTTTGTATTCACAAAGTGCATATAGACACAGTTTTCCGCGTTGATAATCATTAGCCACTCCTTAGTACAGTCAATCACAACATTTTAGTCTGTCTGAAGTGCGCATGCATCTGCGTCTCCAGTTGTTACTCGCCAAATTTTTACGTCGTCAGCGTATAATAACATTGGGGACTGTATTATATTTGGGAGATCATTTTCATACAGTATAAAATGTTAAGGACCCAGGACGGAACCTTAAGAGACTCCACTAAGTACTGGTCTCCAGATGGAGCACATATAATTTATTCTTACTTTCTGTCTACGACGTACTAAGAAATCAGTAAGCCATTTTAAGAGGAGTCCGGCAATACCTAGATTTCCCAACCTCAATAGTAGTCTATTTGTTGGCATCTAATCAAATGCCTTACTGAAGTCTATGTTGACAACATATACTAAGTTTCCGCTGCCTAGCCCTTTTATCTAATGCTCCCCTGCTATAAGGAGGTTTGTTGCGCAAGAAAGACTCTTTCTGGAACCATTTTGTTCACTGTTTAACAAGTTGTTGGTATGCACAGATGTCATTGTGATCTTTTTAACTATTCTTTCCAATATTTTAACTACAACACTGGTGAGGCTTACAGGTCTGTAGTTCAACGGAAGGTGTCTTGGTCCTGTTTTATTTATGGGAGTGACGATTGTGTCCAGTCCACAAGTAACACACCTTGGTAAGGTGACATATTGAACACACAGTCAATGGGGCTGCGATATATTGAGCAATATTTCTCAAGATTTTGGGGTGTAGTTCATCTGGTCCTGTTGACGTTTCCATGTTTAAGGTGCTAGGCGCCTTAAGCACATCGTCTTGATTGAAGTCCACGGTGAGCAGGTGGTTTGTTGACTGTTTATCTTGGTTTGGTTCTCCGTCTAGCGGAGGTTCCTGAGTAAAAACTACCCCAAAATAGTCAGTCATAACCTCTGCTTTTTCCTGATCTTCCTCTATCATCTCAGATTCACCCCCTTCTTTAATTAGGTTGGGAATCCAATGATGCATCCTTGTTCTGTAGTTTATGTACGAGAATATTCTCGTAGGCTGCTTGAGTGTAGATTGTGCCTAGTGCATTTCATATTTTCTTTGAGCTTCCCGAATTTTAGTTATACACTTGTTTCTTATCGATCTGTAGCGTTCCATCGTACAGTCCAACATTTCTTCTTTTGTCTTAGTAAACATCCAATATCCCGGCCTGTCCAGGGATGTCCGTGCTTCTTCTTCTTTGGAACTGTACAGGGTATGTATGGTTGAATTACCCGATTGTACAACTACCTGAAATAAGTCCATGCGTCTTGCACTGATGCCGTTGAGTCAATTTACCAGTTTTCAGCCGATGCTGTGGAGTTGATTGCTTCCATATCTGCCTTCCATATATTAGGACGGGCCGGGACAACTGTTTGACAGGCAATCTCAGCCATGAATTTAAATAAGATGACTGCATGATAATTTCTTCCTAGTGGTGATAGGAAAATCATTTGACCAACGTCATCTCCGTGTGTGAAAATTATATCTAATAGAGAAGAAGAGTTTCTTAAGTCATATCTTATGGGGTTTCTAACATGTTTATGATGTTGGAATAAAGCTAATCCAATCGATGTTTCCAACAGTTTGCATTCGAACGACGATATCGATGACCCTACTTCTAAGTTAACCCGGCTTATATACGGTGCATTAAAGTCGCCTACTACAAGGCTTTACCGTTGTTACTCCAGGACTTAAGTTTACTTAGGAGAAAATCGTCTGCCACACATTCTGGACTGCGATATACTGCAACTAGTTCAATATCTTGCTGTCTGCATTTCAGCTCACATCTCACCAGTTCACACGTCCCTGAAACATGTTCCACTGTCTCAGCTACTCTTATGGTTAGGGTAATTTTCGTGTACAGGATAACCCCGCCTCCCCTACAGTTTAACCTATCAGCCCTACTGGTTAAAAAACAAGTCAACTGCATTTCACTATCTAATATTTCTGACATTAACCAAGTTTCCGAAACAGCAATAACGTCCGTTTTTCTTTATCCACCACTGACTTGAGCTCCGCCATTTTACTTAGTAGGCTGTGAACATTTGTGTGGCATACCTTGAAGTCTGTGGAGAACTTTCCCTTACCACCCAGAGTGGTTTAGGGATCGTTTTGCTCAGAACTTCTACAATTTAAAAACCCTTAAGAACGAGGTTTCTTTCACCGTTTCGGCGACGCTCATTTATTTCCACTTCTGCAGCTCACGGACGTATATTCCAGATCCAGTCCGTTTACGTGATTTATCTAGAATCAGGTTCCTTTCTTCAACCGTGGCAAATGTAACCTTCAAGAGGCGGCTTTTCTGGGGACTTTCAGAATCCACGTTTTCTCCTATTCTATAACGCTTACAAATACTAACTCCTGAAACTGTATCTGGGAGTAGTTTACTTATTAAGGACTTTATATGACTGAGATCGTGTTCGAATCTAGCCTTTAGTTTCTTACCGGAAGATCCTCTTAACTTATGAAAAATGACTGACCTCTCAGAGAGACCTGTCTTGACACGCAATGGAGTTTTTGTTTCTGACACCGTCTCTTCCGATGACTTCCTAACCAGCTGTGTTTTGCCCACGGTTCTTTTCTTTCTTTTTCTCCGTGCTGAAGTCCATTTATCACCGCTCAGGACAGCCACCACGGGACTATTTGGAACGGTGACAGTTTTATCCGGATCTTCAATTTCCACTAGAGGTGTATAATTACCGATGTCAATATCAATCGGCACTTCACTCCTCGTTAATGTTAGCGGAGATTTCACTTTCCAGTCAATCACAGTCGGGTGTTTAGCGGGTCCGGTAGCAGCATGTACTACACTGACACATTCTTCACCGTCAGTGCTCGTGTTATCAGCGCAACCGCCATCGTTTTTCTAAGAGGCCAAAGCCAATAGGCTCATAGCCTCCTGAATTAGTAACTTTTTATTTGTGCAGCAAAACATACAAAGCCAATACGAGTTAGGCTTTGAGCATCTTTTGTATGCCGTAGGACTTAGACGTGTGCATATCTTATGGTACCACTTTTTGCACTCGTCGCACCGCATTTCTCCCTCAACGGGGAACAAGCAGTTTGGTTGTCCACATTTATGAGTCTTACGAACCATTGTAATTTGATTAAAAAGGTTTAAAACACAATATGATCACAATGTGAAGACGAGTGTCAGTCAACGAGTAAAAAAGTACCAAAGGACAAAGTTTAGCAAAAGTTTAAAACCTTGACCAAAGTACTTTTAGTTAAAGTAGACCAAGAATGCTTTTGGGTGCAACAAGTACACAAAGCAAGGATAATCACAACAAGTACAAAAATCACTGCCCTTTTTGAAACGAGCGCGGTAGCGGTGCCGGTGAGATTGCAAACTTTTGTCATCATATTAGCTAGCTATGTTCGTTGATTGTAGTTGTCGTTAACACGTACCAACGAGGAGTTTTTGGAAGGGTTTTTCATGCCAGGCGATTTGGAAATTATGAAACCACGGGTTTTCATACAATTTCTAGAAGACTTACCATATTTATTGTAGTACCATTACCAATCAGAATCATCTGTCTTTCGTGGTCTAAAGACAGAACTACATCGTGATGGGATTCTTTGACGAGTTTGAGAGCTAATACGGTCATGATGAATATTAAGATAACGTATCAGAGTATGACAGAGATCTGTGACGTTATTTTGTGTTGTTTGAGGTCTTTTCTCGACAGAATTAACCTGTGTTGGGGGTTCTTGTGGTCTTTAGAATCTAGTCAACAGATGCAGTCAGTTCATCTACGGCGTTATTTCGGAATGAGACAAGGACTGTCTGAGTCTTTTTTCGGAAAGATTTGATAAGAGCTTTTTAAACAGACCCACTTCATAAATTTACCTACCTATGAAAGGTGACTTCACCTCAGCTTTAGGTACCTTGGGTAACAAGTTAAATGTTGACACACAGCGTCTTTCTGCTTCTCACAGAATCAATCTCCTGTGTAAACATGTCAATAAGGGTCCAAAACTCCGATCGAATGAACTTATGTTGGAGTTCCGCTTTTACCAACTCGTGGTCAACTACCAGAAGGCCCTATGCAAATAAGTAGTGCGAGATTCATATGTGAAACTTGTTGGCCTTTGTACAGGTCGACAACATGTTACCTTCCTCGCTAATGGCTGATGTTGAGGCGTGCGTGTGAGCGGTATTTCAAATGTCTGCGTGTCGAATGGGTATTCTACGATGTGGCGTTACGTTTCGTTGTTTTCAGGAGCCAGGAAGTATTGTAGCACACAATCGAACTATATGTTAAACGAATTGTGCATAGTCGTTGATAAATTTGATCATGTTCTTGGGTTTGCTAACAAGAAGGTAAGCAATTCACACTTCATAAGGCACTATAGTGTCTAGACATGTCATGAAGTACTGTTCGGAAAATCGTTACTACATCGGGCCTTCAGCCTATTCCTTTTTCAGGAAGATATTAGTAGTGAAACAAATCACAGAAACCTTAAGCTACTAGTCCAAAAACGTTCAGCTAATAAACTTACGTTCCCATCTCTGTGGTCAAATACTTGTTGCAGTCATCCTATCATGAATTTTCCTGATGAACTTATCGAATCGGATGCGATAGGGGTGAAGAAAGCTGCACAAAGAAAGGTAGGGAGGTTGGCTTGATTTTTTAAATGAATAGCTGTTCCATGAACTCGGCATCAACAATACTTTTGTTCCATTAAATCGGATACACTTCTTAGGTCGAGTGCTATATACAGCTCCAAATGAACCATGTACGCAAACTGCATTCGCAGAACATGAAGTGGACTACATTCTTGTCAGCGTGCTAGATCCAGTTGCCAGTAAGTTATTTTCTTGCTCATGTTTTCCATTTGTATTATTTTGATGCTATGACGTGTACAAAGTTGTTACATGTGGACAAAGTTCTTGTCGCCGTACTTTGCCTTTTTTGGATGATGTGAATATTGTCTGCTGTGCAATAGGATCTCGTTCCCAGTGAAAACCATATTAGGCGTACAAGAACTTCAGTCTTCTATAATAGGGATAGTAGGTTGGTGAACCTGTGTTAATCCTGACAGATTGCCTTCCAGTGAAGGTTCAGTTTCTCCTTGAAAATATTCACTGATGGGCTGATACCACTTATTCGAGTAAGGCGTTCCAATCATTGACTACTTGATGAGAAAAACGGGACCCCACTTTAAGTTTATTAGATCGCGGTTTATGAACCTTCTTGCTATGACCGATGTGCATTAGCACACTCTTCTTAGCATTGATTTCTAAGCCCCAACCTCGAGCCCATTTAACTAAATCGTCTAAGTCAGCTTGAAGATCCAGATGATCAGCCTCACTTTTTATTGTTCTCCAGATTTTTACGTCATCCGCAAACAATACTGTTGACGACCTAAGCAACAGCAGTAACTCATTAACGTAGGGAAGGAATAGCAGAGGGCCTAAAATGATGCCTTGGGATACACCAATTTTGATCGGCTTCCAATCGGATAGCGTCCCATTGACCCTTACTCTCTGTCTGCGGTCACATAAGAAGTTACCTATCCACTCCTGTACAGTACCTATTATTCCGAAGCTCGTGAGCTTCTGCATAAGACCTACGTGTGAAACCTTGTCAAATGCTTTGCTAAAATCTATGAATATCACATCGGCAGACAGGTCTTTATCTAAGGCTGCTGTCCAATCCTCTCGCAATAAGTAAGTTAGTCAGGCATGAACGCTTGTTACGAAATCCATGTTGTTCAGGAGCTAACAGATTGTGTGAATCTATGTGGCTTAGCAACCTAACCCGAATTAACTTTTCAAGTAACTTAACGACAATGCTAGTTAGACTGACAGGCCGGTAGTTAGATACTATCTGTCTCTGACCATCCTTAAATATAAGACTGACTATAGCGTCTTTCCAATCTGTAGGGAGTCAGTCAGTCAGTCAGTAACAACGTAGAACTTCGTACGTACGTACATCAGTTCGAGTTGCCACACCACATTAGCACAGAGATGCAGTGGTCGATTCAAATACCGTAGTGGTAGAGGTAATAAGAGTATAAGCAGTAATCGGGAAGATTAGGGTTTGGAGATGTTATTTAAAGAGTATAATCCAGTGAAATAAATTTGAGAAGAGAGAAAAAATAGACAAGGAGGAATCAGGAGATTAGAATTTGGAAAAACACAATGAGTGTATGCACCTGCGCCATTGCAAACGATTTTGAGCCATGTCATTCAGGGTCTCTAACCATCGGTTGCTATCATCTCGCGGTCCCCAACCAGGTAGTCTACACCTACCGACATGACTCAGACCACTTGTCAGTGACTTCATGGACTTGTGCCATGTTTTGGTTTGGCCGCCCCTAGCTTTCTTCCAACCTACTCCTATACCACAGAACATCGCACGTCGAGGCAGTCGGTCGTTGGGCATACGTAACACGTGTCCCAGCCATCTCAACTGATGAAGTTTCACTACTTCATCAATTGATTTTCCATCCTTACCTAGTACCCGTTTCCTAACAACTGTGTTACTTACTCGATGGTCCCATGATATACGAGCAATGTTTCGAAGACACCTATGATCAAATACTAGTAGCCTACGGATATCCTCTACTCTTACCGGCCATGTTTCACTGCCATAAAGTAGGACGGAACGAACTGCTGCGCAGTAAACACGTCCTTTGGTTGATAGACGGATATCTCGCCTACTCCATAAATGACGCAAGTTGGCAAAAGCTAGTCGAGCCTTCTGTATCCGTGCTGAGATTTCGTCACACACTAAACCACAAGGGCTGATGAGACTTCCAAGATAAGTGAAGCGGTCGACACACTCAACTACTTCACTCCCTATCACTAGTTCGGATGTCAATGCGACCCAATCCTGAAGCAACATTTTGCATTTCGAGGGAGAGAATCGCATCCCGAACATGCTTGCATTGTTGCTTAGAGTGGTCAGAAGACTGCATTTTGTCAGCGTCTTCAAATAAAACTATGTCATCAGCATATTCTAAGTCAACAAGTGAACCTCCCGGTAGAAGTTCAACCCCTGGAAATCTAGACGAGGGAAGTGTTATCTCTAAAGGCACGTCTACGATAAAGTTAAACAAGAATGGAGAGACGGCTTTTCAGAAATTTCATGCAAATGGTTCCCTTTATGAATTTAAAGAATGGAGAGATTGGACAGCCCTGACGAACACCACTTGAGGTAATCAATTCTGATGACAGTTCGCCATAAGCTCTCACTCGACCAGTTGTGTTCGAGTAGAGAGCCTTTACAAGGTTAATGTACTTCTTTGGTACTCCTTTCAGTGACAAACACTGCCATAGAACCTCACGATCAACAGAGTCGAATGCCGCCTTAAGGTCAAGAAATACTACGATTGTGGGGCGTCTGAATGTGTGTCTGTGTTCTAGAACCTGACGTAGTGTGAATATCTGATCTATACAACCACGTCCAGGTCGAAAACCAGCCTGGTTTTCTCTAATCTGCTCTTCACGAGCTTTGATTAGGCGTCGAAGTATTATTGAAGCTAATATTTTAGACACTATATTGGTCAAACTGATTCCTCTGTGATTGTCACAAGAGGACTTTTGTCCTTTCTTATAGACTGGCACAATCAGTGATTGAGACCAGTCAGATGGGATTACGTCCAGTTCCCAAATTCTACCTAAGACCTCAGTTAATCTCATTGCTAATACTGGACCACCATCCTTAAAAATCTCGGGAGTAAACCTGTCAGGGCCTGCTGCTCTCCCTCGTTTCAGATTTCCTATGGCTTTTTCAACTTCGTAAAGGGACGGAGGATCTACATTAACTTGCCATTCAGGTTGACTAGAGATCGTGGGAAACCGAAGTGTGGCTGAAGGCCAGTTGAACTAATCCCTAAAGTGTTTTGCCTATCGATCGATCCAATCTCCTGGATTGAGAATGAATAATATGTCCATCTTTCTCTGAGATTGTTTCGCTAACGGTCGGGTTCCTAATTCCGGTTTCCTTAACGAGTCTGAACAATTGTCTGCTATTACCTATTGCCGCTGCCTTTTCCATCTTTCTTGCTTTCGCTACCCACCACTGTTCGCGGTCATTGCGTAGACTTCTTGTCAGCTTGAGCTTAAGCTGACTCCGCTCTTCATTATGTTCAGAGCCAGGTGGAATGCGTTTCCGAGCATCTATCAGTGAGATAGATGCTGTTGAGATCCAGTGTTGCTCCCTAACCTTCTGGTTTACCTTACTAGCAGATATCACTGCTGTTTCCACAGCTTTTCGGATATCATTCCATGCTGCCTCGGGGTGGGCATCACATACATGGCTGCCTAACTGTTTTCCTAGTTGTTCCTGAAATATACTCTTAGCTTGACTATCATTAAGTAGGCCCCTAAGAGGTTTCCTTGCAGCATCTTTCCTACGTCCAGTAAGACGCAAGCAAATACGCGCTCGCACTAGAGCGTGATCTGAATCTAGGCATGTGCTCCAGAATGAGCGACAGTCTTCTATCGAGCCCCTCCATCGGTGGCTGATAGCGATGTGATCTATTTGGGTCCAACGTTGGGACGAATTAGGGGGTCGCCATGTTAAAAGATGTTTTTCCTTATGTTTAAAGTTAGCAGTTGCAAGAAAGAGGCGGTTATCTGAGCATAGCTGCAACAGACGGTCGCCATTATCTGTTCTTTGAGCCACGACGCTTTGAGATCCACCTAGGTTTCTTTCCCTTTCGCTTAGTTTACCTACTTGAGCATTAAAGTCACCGGCCACTATTACTACATCAGAGCGCCTAGCTTTTCGGAGAAGGTCCGAAAGCTTTCTGTAAAACTCATCTTTCACATCATCTGAGCTGCAGTCAGTGGGAGAATAGGCTGAGACGACGAAGAGGCAACGACGAGTGTCCCTATCTTTCCGGATTCTTACTGTTCCGTTCAGTCGGACAGCGCGCAAACGACTGTCTACTGGGATCCACTCTAAGAGAGCTAGTTCTGCCCTAGGACTCAATGCTATACCTACGGGAAGCAGAATCAGGGCTTCCAGATACACGAAGCGTAAATCGAGTCGGTTCTTTATTTTGGCATGGTGAGGTCAAATGAATGACGCTACTTGGATCCTGTATGCGCGTTTCGGAGACGCAGCACACATCGATGGCGCGAGATTCTAAAGTTTTAGCTCAGGAAGCCTGCTGTCCTATTTGGCAAAGTGTTCGTACGTTAAAAGCTCCTACGTATAGTTTAGAGCGTGGTTTCAGGAGACCAGGAATAGCGTTCCACGTACTCGAATCGTTTGTCCTAGCGGTGCGAGGTGATAAAGAGACGGGAGGGGGGTTAGTCGGGGGCCTGCTGCTCTCCCTCGTTTCAGATAAGAGAGGTATCAGGAGGTGTAGGAAGGATTTGAATGTGACCACCTTGGTCTCGTGTGCTGTTACGGGTATGAGGGCTGATGTCACTTCCCGGCTGCCCACACCGTGGAAGGGTATTTCTTGAGGAGCCTGAGAAGCAAATTGGATTAGTGTTGGTCTTGACGACCTGGGAGCGTGACCGCAGAGCCCAAGGGACAACTGCTTGAGGCCGGTCGCGCACGGCCTTTTTGTGGAAGGTTTTTGACGTGTTAGCTCCGTTCTTCAAAGGGCCTTACCGCCAGAGACGGGAATCCGTGAGGTAAGGTGAGGTGTGACATTTTTAGGGTCGACCTTTTCTAACCCCACCCCTCCTTGTGGGAAGGCAGCATCGCTGTCATGCCGGTTGTCCGAGGGAAACACCTTACTGCTGTCACACCTCTCTACAGTCAGCAGTACGACTTCGCCCTCAGACCTTGAGTTGCTGCTTTTAGTCTTACCGTTCACCAATCGACCTGCCTGGCATGGTAGAACCTGCAGGAACATATGTTCCAGCCAATATAGCTCGGTTGGGTCATCACGTTAGGCAAGCCCGACCACCGCGTCAAGGTAGCAGCTTCGATCGGGCTGTAGGGAGTTGAGCGAGTTGTCCCTACCGTATAACATTATGCCTCCCCCTTTGTGACTTAAAACTCTACCACTTCTAATACAGATATAGCCTGCGATGATGGGAGAACATTCTATATCTACTGTGAACCAGGTTTCTGTAATAACAATTATATCGGGACTTAATTCGTCCACCATCAGACTTAGCTCGGACGAGCGTTCGTGTAGAACACACTTAAGGTGTTTTGGCAATCATTCGTTCTACTCATACAGGCCTCGGAAGCATTGGCTCCCAAGACCTGACTACCCGAAAACCCTTAATGGTAAAGTTAGTTTCGCCATTTAACTTGCGAGTTCTCAACTCCGTAAGAGCATTCTTCCACTTGGTTCGATCCTCAAGCGGCCAATCAGGTCGTATACGAATATTTAAATCACGGTTTTTTTGTGCGTTTTTCAGTACTTTATTTTTCTTCGAAATTCCCGAGAACCAGCTTCAAGATTCTTCTTGGTTGGGTTTCGCTTCCAACCCATTTACCAAGTCTTATTAACTTCGTGATATGTACCCCTAGAACCTCTCCAGGTAGTTCGTTTCTTACCACAGATTCTACCAACTGCAGATCATGTGCGTGTCTCTTAGCAGGGTCGTTGTCTTTCGACTCCTCTAGATTCCAAATAATTAAACTATGGAGGGGTTTAGCTTCTTTTGAAACTGTGTTCACAGCTTTCGACCGTGACGTTAGATCCTGTATTTTAACTACTGGTAGCTTACGATTAGTTTTTATTTTAACAGAGTCCTGGGAGTCAAGCGAATGACTCACAACAATGTCAGACGAAGCTTTACTATGAGACTTTGGCGGAGTGGTCTGAGAGTCCACCAAGGACTTATCAAGTAAACAGTCATTAGTTTTAGCTGTCTTTTCTCTTCTGCGTTTCCGCGTAATCCTTATTCCATCAGTCGTAGCATCCACATTAGAACCACTAGGGACAGTAATTGTTTTATCTGGGCCGCAAGTCGCTGCTGTAGCAACATGGCCACCGATATCTAATGAGGTGTCACTCACTGATTGTTTTGGGGTAGACGGTTTAATTGCGGGCCTCACAGTTAGATGTCTGGCTTGCGCCGTAACAGCACTTACGATACTAATGCAATCTTCGCCATCAGTATCAATATTACCAGTACAGCCCTCATCAACCTTCTTATTAGCCAACATCAGGAGGCTAATTGCTTCCTGGATGAGTAATTTTTTGCTCGAGCAACAAAAACTACAAAGCCAATGAGAGTTGGGCTTTGAGCACCTTTTATATGCAGTGGAGCTTAATCGAGTGCACATATTATGGAACCACTTATTACAATAATCACATTGCATCCCTTCCTCCACGGGGAATAAGCAATATGGTTGTTCACATTTATGAGCAGAGCTGGCCATCTTGAAAATCAACTACAATGGTGACACAAATAGGATATGTAAAAGAATTCTCAAACCTTAACTAAATGAATCAAGTAAAATTCGACCTAGTATGCTTCGATGCAACAAATACACAAAAGCAAAATCTAAACACTCAATACAATATCACTTTAACTGGAGTAGATACAATTAAAGTGTAAACAGTAGTTTTGATGCGTAATTTACGATCAAAACAGTTAATTAACTCAACGAGAAACCATACCATTGTCCTTTTTAGATAGCGCGCCAACTGCAAACAACTTGTTTTTTAGGAGCTTATAAAGATAGATTATAAATTTCCTTATACTTGTAGTTTGTGTTTCTATTGACTGGTATTAATTTGCTAAGGTTTTTTGATTCCGACACGCTCATTTAAAATCTATCACTTCAAAATCAGACGTCGAGCTAAGATTTACATCTAAGTTGTGTTGACATAATACAACTATCGAATCTTATTAAAAGTTGGCGGGCTGGGTATAACACCACTTCCAACCAGTTACTGATTCAGACTCTACTCTTGTCTGAACAGCCGGGCAGTGTCACTACTCACCATAAAGTAAAGGTTAAAACCGGTTTCACGATTCTAAATTTTGTTAATAAGTCACATATTAGAAAAATAACATGGTGACCATTCTTAAAAATGACTGCCGGAAACTACTGATGGCATAGTTCATTTCCTTAGGTGTATACGAGACGGTACTCAAGCCTGTTGAGCAATGACTTTAAACTCGGAATTTGAGTTTCAGCCAATAAATCATGTCCTGAACTCTCTTTACAGTCAAATTATATCATAAGCCCTCATACAACAGGCATTTTGCCACTTATTGCAGGTAAATCATCACATTATTCGGCAAGTTCACATTGACTCTGTATCGCTCTTTTAATTCAGCGAAATATCAGTGGTAGTGAAACTAAGCATTAGACGATACAGTTCAAAGAGAAGAGATACACTAGATAAATATAAAGTACGAAGTTGTATTGAGGCTCAAGACTTAGCGAAAGCATTGAGTGAATTGGTCTACTCTAATGTGACCAATACTGAGCCATATCGCCCAATGCTTATAACCACTGATCATAATTATTGTGTGATTTTCAACCAACTAATCTGCACCTACCAACATGGTTCAAACCAACAGTCATTGACTTCACGAAATGATGTCACATTTTTATTTAGCTACCTCTAGCTTCCTTTAAGTCTACTACTCCAACCAACATTACGTCGAGGTAATCATACGTAACACATGTCCTAAACACCTCAGTTGACGAAGGCTAACAGCCTCACCAACCGATTTGTCATTTTTGTCTAGTGCCCTATACCTAACCCGAGCATTGGTCACCCGATCGTTCCACGATAGGCAAGCAATGCTTCGAAGAAACCTATTTTCAAAAACATTCAGCCTACGCACGTCTTCTACTTTTATAGCCTATATTTCACGCCCATAGAGTAATATGAAGCAAACTGTGTTTGTGTCTTCACCAAATAGGGTTGTCATCTTACTCAATGTCGTTTAATGAATTTCTAGGATGATCAGCCCCTGAAAAGTTTAATGAAGAATTCGTTTTATATATAGACATGACGAAACTAAATAAATAGTTTAGTGAGCAACCTTAACGCGCACCACTTGAGGTTTATAATTCCAATGACAGTTTATCATAAGCTCTGATCAATAGTGTTTGGGTGATGGATCTTCGCAAGGCTGATTTACTTTCTCGGTACACCTTTTACTGACAAATGTCGTCACAAAACCTGTCGCTCAGCGGAGTCGAGTACTGCCTTAAGGTCGAAAAACAACTATAGTTGGGCGTCAGTAAATATCCCTTTGATTTAGATCTTGACAAATTTTCAATACTTGGTCAATACATGCCCACATTTTTAACCAGCTTGGTTTCCGTGAGTTTGCTCTACACGAGCCCAGATTAAGCATCAAATGATTATGAAGGCTAGTATTTTAGACATTATATTATTCGAATTGATTTCTCTATGTTTATCACAGGGCATATTTGAGTCGTCCTACCTTATTTCACCTTCCTCTCAACTAGGAAAACAAAATTAGTACCCTCATTTCTCAGTTTTTTGCTTCCGGATAAAACAGTTTATTACTCAGTTATATGCAACAGGTTACATAATCACATTGTCTACTGTGTTTTCCAACACTGATAGGAAAAAAAACGTCTTTAAAATAATGTGACTTTTTAAAAAATAGAAAACATTTCATTCAACTTTGTAAGTTGGCTTCCTGAGATATATATAACCGGTTTTGTAAAATGTACTTTCATATATGTCACACAACCTTTCCATTTATACGCAAATATGTCTTTCGTTTATTATTTTGCCTAGCTCGAAATCTTGCAGATACAGACTTAATGAAACTAAATCCTGATGAAGTCAGTGACGCTCGTTGGATGGCTTTTAGTGATTTCAACTATATGAAATGTTCCCCGAGAGATCATATAAGCACATCAAAAACTTCAGACTCCGATTTCTGCAGATCATCCATCACCCCTTGGCTACGTGGTCTTCTTGCACGCGGTCTCTTGCAAAAATTATTTAGTTGGGCAGAAGCATCATGTGGTAATCACTTGCAGGAACGTTTTTTGACTGAAGACCAATCCTGGGATAGAACTAAAATAATACATTTATCTTCCGAGGACGTACAATAATTTGTATTGTTTCATTTCGTACGGTCTATACCTTACTATAATATAATTTCCAAAAAAGCCTGTGTTCTAACTGTCCTAATGATGTTGTCTTCTTGTTCTTTTTTGTGATCTGTTTATGTTAAACAACTATTATTTATATGTCCTATCTATGTTTTCGATGTAACAAGAGAGTTAAGTCAAATGAGGTGTGTCGACCGAATCTTGTTCTAATACCTTCTCCAAAACCATACCTTTACTCAGTGGTAAAATTTCATACAACTAGATGTCTAACTGCTAGTCCATATAAACTTCAGGTCACGTTTGTGATACTAATCAACTTTACAGATGGAAATAGATAAGCATGGTCCAAACATTATTCACAGGTTGATTCATTTAACTACTAATTCACGCCATTACTTATCAGCAAACATAGGTTTCTAATTAAGCTATATAGTTAATTCTTATACTCCATTTCAGTTTTCATACGTTCCGATCGCAAGCCAGTCTTCTGAATCAGTGATTGAAGGAACTGGGACAACTGTTGTATATGTTCAATTAACATCCTACATCTGTGCACAACATTAACTGCGTTGGAAGTAGGTCGAGAGAGAGCTGTGGGTGTTCAAAGCAAGATATAGCATCAATCCCCTAGGTCATTGATGACTAATAGGTGCAGATTATCTGGTTGGAGCCCGCATGGTAATCGTGCTCATTGGTTTAAAAAGCTGACGAACATATCTCATTAAACAATGGCGTAGAGTTTCAATGTTGTTTCGTACCTTTTATTCCCTTATTTCATTTATGGCAGGAAGTATTTTCAGGAAGACCATATTAAATCGAACAAAAATTTTGTACTTCCTAGTTCTGATTACCATTAGTACATATTTATGAATGTTGCTAGGCTAACTACGGCAACCGCTTGTGGGAATTTTATATTATACCCGTCATGTTCTATAAGTCGTGTCCCAACTTTTCTGCCAGGTTTCTTTTTTAGTTGTTATATTCATCAATGTATATAATAACTTGGCTTGTACATTGGTTGCATTACATAATCTCTATGCCATTTGAATTTAACAGTTATTTGAAACTCCTTCCTGCAACTAAATAAACCGTATTAAACTTCAACTGAAACACTAGTTGGAATTCTTTCTCCCTGTGGTTATACCTTTGTTCCTGCAGTAAACCTGCTGATGCAAATGCAATTAGAAATCAACTCATACGGACAGCATACTCACATAAACATTAACCGACTTTCTAACTTAAACCAAAGATGATACCAATATCAACATTTTTGCAACTTTGATTGTTTTTTATCATTAAGCTCAAAATACTTATACTACCCATAAGTAAAGTAATTAACCAATGGTTATTACTATGTATCTTAATGAAACTTGTTAAAATATCTGGATACTGAGTCATTCTTCATTATTATAATCCCACTTTACTTGTAGTGTAAATAATGTTCATGTAGGTTTTCATTGTAAGCGTGTTAAGCATAAACTCAAACATTCTGGAATTATTACATGTATTTCCCGATCAGTTGCTGCCACCTTTTAAACACACAATAGGGATAAATTAGAGTAGCTTATTCAATTGATCAAGTGGAAATGTGACACTGATTCATGTAATTAATTGCTGCTATATATATGTTTATATATATGCTTTTTTGATGTTCATGTTTTATAAGAAATATTTGTCATAATCCCGAGGTAATACTGTCTAATTTTGGTTACTAAGACACAGACGCGTTCTGTATTTTTAATATACCATCTACCTATTCATATCTAATTTATTCTAGTTTACTTGACCCATTTTCTGTTTTTGCTCTTGTGAAGTGCTGTAGCCCGGTGGATAGCAGTTTCTCTCCCGGTTCCACACTATTGTTTTTCATCTTCATAAAATAAATGTGAATGTATAGATGAAATCATTTACAACCTTTGAAATACAAATTTATAAAGCCAGAACAGCATGTATGTATGCTGCTGGATATTTATATAATATGCAGTGTACAGTACTATTTTAACCATACGATCTGTCATTTATACTCTTTATTGAAATATCCTTGTAGAATTTGTCTTATTTGATTTCCTGGTTCAGTTAAGTTAGATTATTAATTTATAAAGAGTGTTCTTCAGTACATAATTTATGCTTAATTCTTTGCGGTTTGGTTATGTTTTTCAGATTTTTTTCTGACTGTGACTCATATTCCGGTGAAAATCTTCATGATTATTGGAACTGTGACTCCAAAAACTCCTATAACATCTGTTGTAGATAGCTGTCAGACGCCTAGCCTAACGACATCCTCGGTTCCTGTATCTTCAGGTTCTGAGAATACTAGTGGTGTGCTTCTTAGCAATTTATGGACTCAGCTTGACCACATTCAATCTACAGTAAGTGGTTTTTATTAACAATGTGTCTCAATCAAAGTGTATTAATTTTGTACACAGATGTGGGAAATTTCCTTAACGAACTTAAGCTTTCTTTATAAACGAAAATGAGTTGTTCTCTACACATGGTCGTTATAATAACTTTTCAGAACAATGATTGTAGTTTATAAATGTTTTTCTTGTCGGCTGCATACATATTTGGGTTAAGTATCGTTCTCATGTAAATTAATTGTACATATAAACTATTCTCTTTGTCCTGTCTTCACCGTGCAGTTGTAATCTATTATTCTCGCCACATATCAGATTAGTATTTGCCAAAATACCTCAAATTTAACATTCGTTTTCGTGCTTTTATTTAGTTTATTGACTAGATGCTCAGTAGATATTATTAGACATAAAATTAATGGTGATACATACAACTTTCACTTTCTAGGTTGAAAACTGCACTCTAAATGAAACCAAATCGTATGTTGCTTCAGTTAATGCTAGTATTTATATGCAAATCTCATGATAAGATTAATAAATAATAACTAATAAAATCCGACTTGTGTTTTTATGAATGGAAATGTACAATCTCGTCACACTAATAATGCCAAGTAAATGGTTTTTTAGAACTCTATTGTACCTAACAGCTATGACTGTGTGATGTTAAAATATTTTAGGTAAAGTTAATACCTTGTACTATCGTTAATAGACAGTTACATCAATTGTAATATCATTAAAGTTCATAAGCTTGGTCGACCTTATTTCTCCAACTTTGTCTGAATAATTCTGGTTATGGTTCCCAACATCCTGTATATACCATTTTTTTATTCCCTGTCGATTTCCAGATTCCGGACAGATTATCGGTTGCTATGTTAGAGAGTGCTGGTGTGCAAATGGAAAACAGCGACCCACGACTTGCCCGTTTAATCAGTCTAGCTGGTCAAAAATTTCTGACTGATATCCTTTCTGATGCTATGCTTCATTGGCGCCTTGCAAATGGACAACCTACTGGGCTGCTAAACCATCCTAGTGTGTCCACATCTATACCAGGTCAAGCATCTAATCCGTCCTCCATAAATCCTATTACAACACCAACGAGCAACCCAAGTCAGTCTATTCCACAATCTCCATCATCTAGTAAGTACAGCTCAATCTACTTGTGATTTGTTATAACAGTGTTACATTCACAAAAGTCTCTTCCGTATAGACTAAAAACACAAAAGAGGGTTGGAAGTTGTAGATCTATACAAGATAATTAGACAAGTCCAACCTATGGTTGCTTAAGGTGATTGAATAATTCTATCCGCTTATCCAATTCAACTTATATCTTAATCGATTTTCGTTCTAGTCTTCTGTTATATAGGTTAATTTTGAGTGTTTGATAAGTAACGTTCAGTTTTGGATTTCTAAAATAAGTAAACAGAATACAAATCAATAAATGATCCAATGTGGTCAAATGGTAACAGACTTCTTTTGGTAATCAGAGAGGGGTTTTGTGGAAATCTAGTAATTTAATAGTTGTAAAAACCATACATTAAATACTTCATTTGCGAATTCCCACCATTTATCGTTCACATTCTGTATGATTCCTCCAATTCACAATTTCTTTCTATTTCCATTTCTGTTCTCTTCAGCTTGATCTTCTTAGCTTTCTGCTGCCAGGTTTTCCATTTCCGACATGTGTTACATACTACTTATGTCGACAGACATAAGTAGCATACATCACAGTATAATAAAATGGTTTCGATTGTCTATTCTTATAACTTAGTTCCAAACAAGGTTCTCGTTGAAGAATAATGTATTGATAGCGGTATTTGTTTTCCTCTTGTATTATAATATACAAACCAGTCTGTTTGCTTTTTAAAAGTAAAACCCGGGTAATACTAATACTATTAAATTTTGTTTTAAATTCGCACCATTCATGTCGACGTTCTAAGCAGAATAGAAGTTCGTGGTAGTCTCTGAATATAACACTGTGGCATGCTACTCACTTTTTACTTTAATGCTTTAGCTTTATTATTGTGTTTAAGTCTTGGCCAAGATGTTAAAATGCCACTTCATTGTCATGTGCGATCTCTTTAAGACGACTATTTACTTGTTTCCCGTCCATGAAGTTCCACGTCTCTCCTGTTAATGATGGTAGCATAAAAACTAAAAAATTCCAATATGATGGCAGAAATGTCATTGAGCAAACCAGTTTTACGTTCGTGGTGGTCTAAACATCTGGTATACTTAGGAAACTCATTGCAAATTTTAGTGAAAGAATATTGAATTTTCCGTCTTTAGCTCCAAGCAGTGTTTCACTTGAAGTTGCATACATCATTTCGTGAAAGCTATTCATGCAAGAGATCGATATTCCAACCACAAAACTGTAAACCTATATTGGTGTTGATACCAGATCACCTACAGAAAGGCATCACGCAATTACATAAATCTAGTTTCGTGGACAACAGAGTGTCATCATTAAAAGGCTATTTCACAGATGCTTGTTGGCAGCAATTAACCGGTAGGACAGATATAAAAGGCCCCATAAAAGTGAGAAATCGGTGTGAGGAACGATGTATTTTTTTCATCGCTTTGTCTCCGACAGATTCCGACCTGAATGCGACCAATAATGAATTTTGCCACTAGTTAAGTGTCCTGCAGAAAGTGCGTCCGACCGATGCTGTAGGACTAGCCAGAGACCTGAATGCTCAGATCTAGCGTCTAGGCACAGAAGAGATTTGTTTAGGTGGCCGGTGGAAACTTATTGGTTGACGCTCCACAAATCACCAGGCCTAGATAACTTACATCCTACAGATACTTGCGACCGGGTTAAGGAACTGACTGAAGTGTTTGCAAAAGTTTGGAAATTAGAGAGTGCTCCAACACTGTGGGATGAGTCGATAGTTCGATCCTTTGTTCAGGACTCTCCTGGGATTGTTTATTGAAAAATAGTGTGCCTGAGAAGTTTACTAACATCTTGAAAGCCCTATATATAAACACCTCAGGCAGAGTGAGGGTGTATAGCTACCTCTTCCCATTGCTTCATTCAAGACAGTGTTACCTAATCTTACTGTCCCTCTTCAAGTTTGCTATCGATGATGTTCTGGAAAGAGCTCTGATTGATGTAGATAATGGTTTTTTGGCTCCATTGCCTGGAGAAAGACTTCTCGATCTTGAGTATGTGGATGATGTCTTACTGTGCGATGATACTCAATCCATAGAATCCGTACCTAGTTAGTTGGCAGTCAGTGTCCGTAAGTATGGTATGTGTTTTGCACCTTTAAAGTGCAAAGTACTCTTACAAAACTGGCAGGACCCTTTACTCACGCTGAATAGTGAGTAAATAATAGTCGATAAGTTCGTGTATCTGGTTAGCTGCGTAAGTGCTGGCGATGGCGTGAGTGATGAGATCAATCCATGTATGGTGAAAGCCAGAGCGGCTTATACCAATCTGGGCCATCTTCGGTGCCTTCATGATGTCAGTCTGTCTATGAGAGTCGGATCTACAACGCATCAGTGGGCGCAGTTTGGCTCTATGCTTATGGGGTTTGACCTCTCCAAGTTGAGGATGTTAGATGACTCTCTGTGCTTGATTATCGTTGTCTCTGAAGGATTGCTGACATGTAGTAGCAACACCATGCTAGTAATGCAGAGGTTCTGCATCGTGTATTCGGATACAACGACGATAATTCCATCGGTGTCTCTATCTTGAAACATCGACTTCAGTGGTTTGGACATGTCTTACGAATGTCGTCCCAGATAATTCCACGTCGTGAATTGTTTGCTTACGTTGGGATTGGTTGGAAAAAGCGGAGAGGTGATCCATTTATGACATGGTGTCGTCGTATGTAAGAAAGCTGTACTAGACTGGCTTCTATTAGTCCCTCACAACCTTAGCTGATGCATTAATGTGGTGGGCGAACTTGCTTATCGTGATGACTCAATCCAGCCATACTGACCGAAACATATGTACCTTTAGGTCTTACCATACCAGACAGGTCGGGTGGAGAACGGACTAAAGGCAGCAATGTAAGATACGTGGACGAAGTCGTACTGTTGACTGTAGAGAAGTTTGAGAGCGGTGCAGCGTTTCCCTCGGACATAAGCATCTGCAACGATGCTGTTTTCTCACAACGGAAAGAAGGCGTTATAAAGGGTTGACCTTAAAAATGTCATGCCTCACTCCTTTTCACGAATTTCTATTTCCGGCGGCAAGGCATTTTGTGGTGCGGAGCTAACACTTCAAAAAACTCGCACGAAAAGTTCGTACGTGACCAGCCTTCAACAGTTGTCCCGTTTGCTCTGTGGATACGTTCATACGTCACTAAGACCACCAATAACCTAGCTTTCTTTTCAGAAACCTCAAGGAATATCCTTCCACGATGTAGGAATCCGGGAATCGACAACTGTCCTCATACCCCTCATCACTCGAGATCATCTTTTTAACAACCAAATCCCTGCCTCACCACTTAATAATTCCCACATCCCCTCGACTTACCCTGCTTGTACATCTTAGTCACCACATACGACCAATGCTGATGATTTGACTTCATGAAATTTTTTTCCTGGTATCTCGAAACCACTCTCAAACTATGTGTTGGAGCTTTTCATGTTCAAACATAGTGTCAAATGGGATAACAGGCTTCTTTAGTTAGAATTCTGGAATATTGTGCCATCGTTGTATGTTGTGTCTTCGAAACGCTTATACAGGATTCATGTACATTCATTCGCTTGACCTCAAGTTTTTAATATAAAGAAACGGCATGATATACTCTTTCAGTGTCTGGAGACTCAACTGCTACTTCCCGTGGTATCGTTGGTGTAAGTTTAGCATTAAGTTCAGCAGCAGAGCAGGCTCTCTTATACTGGATTACAAAGACAGTCGCTTAAGCGCTGTCCAACTAAACGGAACAGTAAGGACTCAGAAAGATAGGGACGCACGACATTGCCTTATCGTTGTCTCTGCCTACGCTTCCACTGATTGTAGCTCGGATAAAGTTAATGATTCTAATAGGAAGCTTTACAATCTCCAAAAAGCTAAGCGCTCTGATGTAGTAATAGGGGCAGGTGATTCCATTGCTCAAGTAAGTAAACTAAACCAAACCGAAAGGCATTTAGGTAGATCTTACAGTGTTGCAGCTCAGTGAACAGATAATGGCGACCGTCCGGTGCATCTGTGTTCAGATAACCGCTTATTTCTAGTAAGCACCAACTTTAATCATAAAGAAAAATGTCTTCGGACATGGTGAACCCCACGACCGACTCAATGATGGACTCAAATAGATCACATTGTCACCAGTCATTGTTGTAGAGGCTCGATTGAAGACTGTCGTTTATTCTGGAGCACATTATTAGACTTGGATCATGTTCTAATTCAAGCACGTGTTTGTCTGCGTCTTAGTGGACGTGGGAAAGCCACATCAAGAAAACCCACTTGAGTCCAACTTAATGATGAGAAAGTTAAGAAGATACTTCTGGAACAACTAGAAAAGGAACTAGTCAACCATGAGAATTGTACTAACCCTAAGGTAGCTTAAGTATAATATCCAAAAAGCTGTGGAAATAGCAGTGACATCTACTAGTAACTTAAACCAAAACGTTAGGAAGAATCAGTGGAGTTCAGTGGCGTCTACACGACCGATAGATGCTCGGAAACTAGTCCCATCGGCGTCAGAACACGAGGAGAAGCGGAGGCAGCTTAAATGTAGGCTGATAACGAAGCCTACGCAGTGATGATGAGCAGTGGTGTATAGCGAAAGCAGAAGCGGTGAAAAAGGCAGCAGCGATAGGTAACAGTAGACAACTGTCCAGAATTAACAAGGAAATGGGTATTAAAGATACTGCTTTTAGTGAAACTATATCGGAAGGAGACGGGACTATTGCTCACTTTCAATCCAAGGGATTGGATCGATGGACGAAACATTTTAGGGAACAGTTCAACTGGACTTCAGCCACACTTCCGCTACCGATTATATCCTCCAACTCTTAGTGAGGTTGAAAAGGCTATAAGTAATCTAAAGCGGGGGAAGGCGGCAGGGCTTGTTGGACTAACCACTGAGATTTTTGAGGATTGTGTTCCAGTCTTAGCAGTTAGATTAACTGAAATGTCAGCTAAAATCTGGGAACTGAGCGTAATTCCACCAGACTGGTCTCGGTCGCCGATCGTCTCAGTTTACAAGAGAGGACAAAAATCCCCCTGTGACAGTTACAGAGGAATCAATTTCACCAATACAGTGCCTAGAATATTAGCCCCAATAATGATTCGACATCTAACTAGAACACGTGCAGAGTGAACTCGAGAAAAAACAGACTGGTTTCAGACATGGACGTGGATGTATAAATGCATAGACCAACTATTCACCCTTCGGCAGATTCTGGAATATAAACATACCTTTCGACATCTAATAATGGTTGTATTTTTTGAATTTAAGGAGGCTTTCGAATTTGTTGATCGTGAGGTTCTGTGGTAGTGTTTGCCATTGAAAGGCGTACGAAGGAAGCACATTAAGCTTATACAGGGTCTCTACTCGTATCACACTGGTCGGGTCAAAGCTTATGGTGAATTGTCATCAGAATTGGCTGTTTCAATGGTGTTTGTCAAAGTTGTCCACTTTCCCACTCATCTAATTTTTCCATAGATGGACATGCTTTTAGAAACAACGCCCATAGTCTGACTTTTCAGGAGTTGATCTTCTACCAGGAGATTCACTTGCTGACTTAGAATACCTAGATGGTATAGTTCTGTTTTATGAAGATGCTAACAAAACGCAGTCTTCTGAGCACATTTAGCAACAATGCAAGCATGTGTGGGATGTGATTCTCTCGCCGTAAATGTAAAATTGTGCTTCTGAATTGGCTTGTGTCATCGCCTGAATTAATGATAGGGACTAAAGTAGTTGGACGTATTGACCGCTCCATTTATCTTGAGTCTCATCAGTCTAGATGGTCTGGTGTCTGATGAAATTTCTATGCGGATTCAGAAGGCTTGACTGACTTTTGCCAACTTGTGTCACTCGTGACTTAGGCAAGATATCCGTCTTCTAACGAAAGGGCGAGCTTACTGCGCATCGGTTCGCTCCATCCTACTTTATGGGTGTGAAACATGAGCACTAAGAATAGAGAATATTCGTAGGTTACTAGTGTCCGATGATAGATGTCTCCAAAGGATTGCTTGAGTATTTTAGGAACACTGAGAAAGCAATGCCTGGATTAGGAAAAGGATGCTAGGAAGGGATGGAAAATCTATTGATAAGGTGGTAAATCTTCATCAACTGAGGTGGTTGCGACATGTGTTACGTACCCCCAACCACCACCTACCTTAACAGGCGATATTGTGTGGTGTAGAATTAGTCCGGGAGAAAGCTAGGGGCGGCCAAACAAAAATACAACATTAGTCCATAAAGTCATTGACTGTTGGATTGAGCCATACTCGATAGGTGAAGACTACTTAATTAAGGTCTGTGTGATTATCGTAACCAGTGGTTCAAAACTGTTTGCAACGGCGCAAATGCATTCATTCTTTATCCTCCTCCCGAATTCCGAGATTCAAAATTCCTCACAATATTTTTGTTTTCATTTCGCTCATTTATATTTAATTTTCCAGTTGTATCTCCGATACTCAACTCTACTGTTTTGGGATTTGGCCTGACAACTTCATGTCGCTGATAATTGGGTATGACAACTTGAACCGATG